GCCTCCCAAAGTACTGGAATTACAGGGATTACAGGCATGAGCTACAGTGCCCAGCCTACAAGCTCATCCTTGATAAACACTATTCATCTTAACTAATCAGTGTTGAGGCTCCTTATTTCAACTTCCTTCCTATGTGTTCAGCCTTGTGAAGCCAGAATCCATCTTTTTGACCAAATTCATAATGTTTTTGCCATATGGTCTCAAGGGCCTTGATGAACATGTAATCCTACTCTAGGTAGTTTCAGGGACAGAAGACCTCCTTCAGGACTGAGGAAAAAAAAAAAAAACAGTCTTGTGTTTTGGATGAATCCATGAAAAGGCTGATTAAGATTGGCTCCAGTTGGCTGGTTAGGTCCTATCAAGCTATGGTGTAGCACTCTCTTTTAAGACTTGACAGTTCTTCTCAGGTCCTTATAAGTCACATGAAATCCAGTAGAGCATTTTTAAGTCACAAAAACTGTTAAACTTTTCTTAGGCCCAGTTAGGCATCATTAAATCTTACTGATATTAGTGAAGTCACAAGATTGAACCAGGCATAATGAAAATAGAATTTGTACAACTTAATGAGATTTGATGAAGATTATTGAACCTTATTCTGTCCTTAAGGCAATAGGACTAAAATTTTAAAATTCAAGTTGGATAAATGCAGAAGTTTTTTTTTTTTCTTCTTCTTCTTCTTTTTTTTTTTTTAAGTAAAGTGAGCTAGCTGAATTTACAAGGCCTGTGTGTCCCATTCCCTGAGGGCCCTCTGTGACTGCTAGTTTGAAAAAGAATATGTGCTAACTTTTAATGGGTTACTCTCTCTCCTCCCTCCTAGGTGGCATAAATGCATCTTAATAGGGTCTTCTGGACATGCTTCTTTCACCCACAGAAGAGAACCCTGGAGTGTAGGCATTCCAGGCACCAAGCCAGACCCATAAGGGAAGCAGCTAGACCTGTGGAGTCCTCGCAGATCTCATCAGGCAGACAAGCCCATACTCCAGCAATGTTGGGTGGAGAGATGAGTGGGGAAAAGAGCAGGGCTGGAAGTGAGTCATCCTTGGCTAAGTGTGATAAAGTAGGCCTCCAATCAGCCAGAGACACCAGATAATGCCCTTTCATTGCTGGAGAGAGAATCTGTGACTCACTTGGTATTTTGTGGGTTAGATCTTTCAGAATGTTTCTGTCACCGGCTGCATTAAGAGCTCAGAAGTAAACTTTAAGATAGGTCTTTATACATTTGATTATGTTACATTTGAAACACATTTGTTTTATTTTTTAGAAAGGTTTCCTTAAATTAGTCACACCAGGACATATACTCTTTCTTGCCAATATTTTAAATTCTTGATCTCAGAGTCAGTCTTTAGCTACTGAAGATATAGGAATTCAGCAGACATCTAGTCCTCATGCTAATAACAGTAATAATGATAATTATAATACTATCAAACACATAATAAAGTTTTTTTTATCATGCCTGTAATCTCAGCACTTTGGGAGGTTAAGGTGGGAGGATTGTTTGAACTCAGGAGTTCCAGACCAGCCTGGGCAGCATAGTGAGACTTATCTCTACTAAAATTGTAAAAAATTAGCTGGCAGTGGTGGCATGCACCTGTAGTCCCAGCTACTCGAGAGGCTGAGGCTGGAGTATCAGTTGATCTCAAGAGGTTGAGGCTGCTATGAACTATGATCACACCACTGCACTCCAGCCTTGGTGACAGAGTGAGGGTCTGTCTCTAAAAAATAAGTAAATAAATAAATAAATAAATAAATAAATAAATAAATAAATTAAAGTAAAGTTTATTCTATATCAGGCACTGTGTTAAGTACTTTACAAATACTAACTCATTTAATCCTCACGACAACCCTCTGAAGTTACGGCTTCTATTTTCTCCATTTATAGGTGAGAAAACTGAAGCATGGAGAGATTAGAGATTTTCCCAAGATCACAGAGCTGGTAAGGGGTGGAGTTGGGATTCAAACCCAGGCAGCATGCATATAGAGTCTATACTCTCAACCTATAACATCAGCAGTAATCAATTTGGTTAGGAAAAACCATCCACTATATTCCTGTTTTGGAAGGGAACCCATGATACACTGTTGAAGTTTTTCATTAAAAAAAAAAAAAAAGAAATCAGGTAACAATGAGAACAATATGGTTTTATCCTTTTAAATAAATATATGTGTTTGTGTGTGTGGTTGGAGGAAGAGCAGGAGGGAAGCGGGAGGGGGAGAGATAGCAGATTTGAATTTGGCTAGGACAAGGAGGTCTGGAGGAAATCATAATCACAGTAGTTATTTTGGGGGAGTGGGAGTTGTATAGGTAATTTCACTTTTTACTTTACATACTTATATATTGTTTTAATCTTTAAAAGCATGTGATAAAACATATACACATGCACACATTCCAAGAAACTGGCAGGCATCAGCTATCTAAGACTACTGAAGAACTACTTAAGCTTTCACCTATAATTACTGACACAGCATGTGGCTTGGATTTCTGCAATCCTGAGAGAAAAGACCAGGTTCTCCCCTGCTCTCAGGCCTGAAAGCAGTGATTCTCACCTAGTAGGTACTCTGTAAATGTTGTTTGTGGTGGTATGGTATTGGAAAGTATGTTGTTTGAATCACATCCTTCTATTCTCTCAGACTCTGGGATCATTATAAACTCTGCCAAGTTTTCAATACTCAGGAAATTTTGATTGGCTCTGTAGTTCCAGGGCTGACTAACTTTTTCTTTGGGGGGCAAGAAAATAAGTATTTTAGGCTTTTTGGGCCGTAAGATCTCTGTTGCAACCACTCCCGCTGCTGTTGCATGAAAGCAGCCAGAAAAAATATGCAAAGAAATGGGCGTGCTGTGTTCCAATAATATTGTAGTTACAAAAGCAGGCAGAGGGCTGCATTTGGCCCCAGGACAATAGTTTTTGGACCCTGCTCTAGCTGCTCAGAACAGTGCCATTTGCACTGAGAAACAGCTCATTTGCTTTGTTTTCAGGATAGGTTTCTTCTGAAGTTCTGAGGGCTTTGCCCATTTGTGAAGATCTGACGGATGTACTTTGGAAATTGTGAGGTGTTTATCAAATTCCTTGGACAGTTAAAACTCTCAGGCGGCCTCATTCTTGCCAAGTGAGAGATTCGAGTTGCCTTACTCCACAGTGCCAGAGGATTACGTTTGGAGTCAGCATACTGTTTTTTTGCTAGAACTTTCTACAAAGTACTCGGCTTTTGTTTCTTTGCTTAGTTCAATCTCTAGAGAAGACAAGAGATAAAAACTTCCAGTCCACCTCTGATGGCCATTTGTGCAAAAGGAATACCCTGTCTCCCCTTTCCCAACTTTCAGTGTTAAAAGCAGTGTCTTCAGGTCAATGAATGCAAGAAAGCTGTGGGTTGCACATCACAACCTGGCCTATTCTGTGGTTCTCTTCTGTGACTCAGACCCAGCATGTGAGTTTTATGCTCCTTTTTACCCCCGTACTACACCCATGGAAGGAAACCATCCTTCCCATTGTGACAGCTTTATTAGACCCACCACCCAAAGGCAGTCCTGGTTGTACCTGGTTATCATCCTTATTGAGAATCCTAATTAAGTCCCGAGGAACTGAACCAATTCGTTGTTTCTTCATTCCAGCTCCAAGTTGGGCTGCCTCAGCAGCTCATTTCCTTAGCAGGTTTCCTATCTTTTCTCTACTACAGTTAGAGTGCCCTGCTCTCCATGAGTACCTACCCTCCTCAGGGAGGATATTTCGGAAATATTTCAAGGTCTTGGACTTTATGTTCCTGCTCACAGCTCCTCCCAAGGGGGTGCAGGATCTTTATACAATCAGGCCCTTTGGCAGCCCAAATATTGATCAAGAAGCAGTTGACAGGCAAAACCACGTAAGCTGATATGGTTAGGCTTTGTGTCCCAACCCAAATCTCATCTTGAATTGTAATCCCCATAATCCCCATGTCAAGGGAGAGACCAGGTGGAGGTGATTGAATCATGGGGGTGGTTTCCCCTTTGCTGTTCTTGTGAGAGTGAGTTCTCACTAGATCTGATGGTTTTATAAGGGGCTCTTCCCCTTTCACTCAGCACTTCTCCTTCCTGCCACCTTGTGAAGAGGATGCCTTGCTTTTCCTTTACCTTCTGCCATGATTGTGAGTTTCCTGAGGCCTCCTCAGCCATGCAGAACTGTAAGTCAATTAAACCTCTTTCCTTTATAAATTACCCAATCTTGGGCAGTTCTGTATAGCAGTATGAAAATGGACTTATACAGTACATATGAGTAGTTTACAGGCTAAGGATACTTAACTACACCTCCAACCAAATTTGTAGCTTTCTTCCTTCTGATCCCTTGGGACTGACAATTGAAGTCTCTTTGGAAAAGTGCAAGGACAAATCATACCCCACTCCCCCATAGTGCTAACTACAAGAGTTTGTTTGAAAAAATGTGTACATTTTGTGTTCAGGACTTTAAAAACCAATACATTAATGCTTACCTTTAAACTCTACCCTGTGGATAGAAGGGAGAATGAAGAGCACTATTTTTCCTTTCTGCATGCTCTTAGATATGCAAGTATTTAATAAGTTTTAACTTAAAAGTTATGCCTATTCATTTGCATAGCAAACTTTGTCTTACACCAGGAGTATCCAATCTTTTGGCTTCCTTGAGCCACACATAAAATACACTAACACTAATGATAGCTGATGAGCTAAAAAAAAAAAAAAAAAGGTCTATAATAAATATAATGTTTTAACAAAGTTTATGAACTTGTGTTGGGCTGCATTCAAAGCCATCCTGGGCTGCATGTGGCTGGTGGGCTGTGAGTTGGACAAGCTTGTACAAAAAACATGGACTCCCAGAAGGAATCACCCCAAATTAAGGCCATTTTAGTGTGAGGGATTAGAATGGGCCATCTAGTTTTCATGCCTGGCTGCCAAGAGGAAAAAAGGAAATGCCTTGTTGAAAAAAATTCTGTTCTGGTTTGTGAGATCACAATGTCTAGTGGCTGCAAATCTTGAAATTATGAGATTACTCAGAGACTGTAATTTAAACTTTATTTCATATCTATTGTTAAATTGCACAAAATCAGTGAATGGTTTGTAAAGCTACACCAATGGACAGATGTTTACAGTTGAAATCATAGGATTTACATAATGGCAAAAGTGTATATTTATAACATCCTCTATATACAATAATCAGTATAGACGGAGAAAATGCACTTAGTCTTTGCAAATCATGCACACCACAGCAATAACACAAAATATTTTTTCTGTAACAAGCTCTTCCACTGGCTCAGGCTTCATCCTGCTTTCCAACAGTACCTATCAGTTTTAAAAGCAAACATTTTCAATTAAAACTAAAGAAAATTGAAATATCATAGTGATCTACTAACTATTTTAAAAACACAATTGTACACAAAATAGTTTTACTCTAAAACACTGTGACTTCAAAGTGTAGTTTTTAAAAACTTCCTTTCAGTTTTTTAGCTCTCAGGATTTTCAGGATTGCAATACTGTCAGACAAAACAAAAGCTAGAAATAGCGATACAAGCTCAGAGTCAAGAAAATCCATTTTAAACCCAAATACCCAGCTTATTGTCCAGTTTGTGGCTATATTACTACAGAAGAAACACATGAGCAGATTGTAAAAGATATAACTTCATGGTCACACTTCTAAGCGTGTCCCTTCTGAAAACATAAATGCCACTTTCAGTCACCTTGTTTGATTTACAGCCAGGAGGTTAGTATAAGTCACTGCATAAGTATAGCAAAATCCATAGTAAAATGAAAACTGCCAGGAATCATGATGCTTGACAGCACGATGGGTCACATACTTCTTTTTATCTTGGTCAGTTTGTAATTGATACCATAGAAGTATTTTTGCATCGACTTACACTACCAAATCACTCTGCTCAACTATTATGTTCCTGATATGTAACCTCACTACAGAACAGTTTTTACTTTTGCTCTTTTCAAAACAAAAATTTCGTAGAAGGGTTTGCCCACATTATCAAGGTGCTATTGAATAACTCTGGCTAGCCTTCCTAATGCTTATTTTATCCTTTTTTGGCTTTTGTAATTGTCTACAAATCTGTCAACACGAAAAAGAACTAAAGGGCTAGAAATAGTTGGCCCAACTGGAAACATTACAGTAGAGATGTAGAAAAAGTAAGTAAGAGTTCACATTTTAGGTTAAATTCTATCTGATCAAGAATAACTTCAGCAATATTTTTAGACACATTATCCTGTTCAAGTTTCTTGATTAGGACCTCACTACACGAATATTGATAAAATAATTCTATAGAAAGAAAGTCCTGACTTTAATCCAGGATTATATACCACAACAAACTCAGCAACACACCATTTAGATGATGAAGAAAGATTCTATACATGGGTTAATTTGGAATGAGCACAATTCAGAGAAGCCTTAAAATGAATGGGAAGCAGCGCCAAAATGATTCCAGTATTGTTGAAATTACAGTGCCCTGAAAGCGCCTGGAAATTAGATCTTTACATTGGTATTTCATTTTGGAAAAAAAAAAAAAAAAGATGTTTTGTTTAATGTGAGATACACCCTGTTTAAAACCTTTAAACAGTAGAAGGTAGAAAAAGTTTTAAATTTTAAACATCTCTTAAATATCAAGATATGAGTCCTGTTCTTGAAAAGCCAATATTTTGACATAAAACTACTCATGTTTGGAGAGGAATTTTTTATTTTCTACAGCTTAGTAAGATTCACCATCAGTTGTTATTCTATTTAAATAGATTCCTTGTTAAAATCAGAAGAAAATAAAAGGTTTTATATTTCATTTTAGTCGCTTTATGTTTATACTTATTCTCACCCCTGGAAAAAATGTTTGAATCCAAGACTGGGTTTTAACAGTGTATCATGAATAATTTAAAGTCCATTTCTTAGCCATAAGTTAAATGGTCACATTTTATGTTTTCATTTTGTCTCCATGACTAATTTAAGAACTTCTTAAAATATCTAAACAGCAATTTCTGGTGAGTCTGGCTTGGCTTTCGGATTTCATAAATAGTCCAACCCCAAAAAGACAATTTAATTCCATATTGAGATTTGTTTTACCCACGCACAGTATAACACTGAATTGAAAGGCAACTGTAAAGGCAACATCTAAACTTTTCTTTTTTTAACTTCCCCAATGAAGGAAGCAGGATGTGTTTGGACACTTTCATCTTTTAAACTATGCCATCTTTTCAGTGGCGCTTTGGGAGAAGTATGTGCAGGCCTTTTTGAGCCATTTAACGCCATTTCTCTACACTGCCTATGTAGTCGTTGGTGCCATTGCTGGTGTTACCGTTCTGCTCCTTGCCTGAGTTCTGCTTCAGGCTTTCCCGGTTCTCCTTCTGCCTCGAACTCTGAGTCAGATTCTGCATCAGATTCTGAGTCAGGTTCTGATTGGCATTCGGATTTGGGTTCTGACTCTGATTCTGATTCGGATTCTGGCTCTGGCCCTGGCCCTGGCTCTGAAAATGGGTCTGAAGGAGCCTTCCCTTCAGAAATTTTCGTTGTTCCTGACGCTTTCGTCTGGCCTCCTGATGCTCTTTCTGCCTCATAAACTGATACCTCTGCAAAAAGAGGTCTTTGGCATAGCTGTACAACTCCATATCCAGAAAATTCAGTCCCTCAATACGCTTTTGAATTTCCTCATTGATCTCTACACTAGAGGCCCTAGTGGTATTATACTGGGTAAATGGCGAAATAAAGTTCATGTTGAAGGTTTTCTCAAACAGATATTGGGTCTTCCGCTGAAACTCAGTGAGGCCAAAGAACGCCATGTGCTTCAGATTTGATTTGGCACTTTCCAGAAGGACCTTGTTTCTTTGCTTTTCAGGCATGACAGAGAGGTTGTAGCAGCCTACCAGGGTCAGGTCAGAGAGCATGCGCACCTGGCGGTTGTTGGCTAGATTATAGGGACAGTCCATAAACTCTTTGAGGGGGCAGCCAGACCAGTCATCGCCAGTGTAGCAGCTAGGCAGCTCTTCGGAGGTTGGAGGCCTTCCATCGCAGACATGAAGGGATGCTTTCCATGTTGCCCCTCGCTGGACATGCCTCCACTCACTCAAGTACCGGGACACTGGGTCTCGGAGGATGGTGATGTAGTGGAAGTTCCTATGGATGAAGCACAAAAACCAACAGTCAGAGATATGGGTGAAATAAGTGGAGTCATGGAGGTACATGGCATTTGTGGTGTTCACTGGCCAAAAAGGAAGGCAAAGCAAAAATGACAGGGATCTGATGGCATTTGTCCTGTAAACTGTCCCTCAGCAGTCCCCTCTGCTGAGTCTCACTAGCCTAGAGATAGCTAAGTTTTTCAACCAATTTGCTGATACTTCAGCTAAAACAGGTATGAAAAGGTTAGATTCCAGACATCGACCTTGTCTTGCTTCACTCCTGTTCCCCCTTCCCCTCTTTTTCTCCCTCTCTAGCCAAAGATAAAATCTTCCCATTGACACCATTGGCTAACTAGGCAACCACTTTATTTCATGCTCCCCACTGTAAACCATTTAGTGATCATGAAATGGAGATTCAATGGAAGCACATGCTTTATTGGAGTGAAATGGAGTTGACAAGTGGATTAAAATTCTAACCTTATTACATATGCAATAGCATATTTTCTAATATTCAGTCTAATCTGCATATCTTTATGTTTTTGAAAAAACTAATTAGAAGAGTGTATGATATGATACTCTTGATTCTGGCTGTTGTCATATTATGGCTCATACATTATGGAAGTGGAATGTAGAGATAGGCAGAGTAGCCCAGGGCCTCCAGAAATAAGCGCTGTGCTTAGTCACTGACTGAAATAGACATGGTAGCTGCCAATGGCATATATGCAAGCTACTACCTTGGTTTCCAACTTTGCTCATATGATATTCCCAGGATAGGAAACTTAACGCTATCAGCAGCTTCAAAATGTCCCTTTTCCTTATCTACTGAAAGGGCACATGGATGTCAGCAAGTGTGGAAGCTTTGCTATATGGCTATCTTCTCTTTAGGGCTTCAAACAAAGTTCTTTGCTCAAATAGCAGACTAGCAAACATTTAAACCACATGCTAACATACTCACACCATACATGGTAAGCACACACCCCAGAAACATCAAATCTATGATACAATCAGGCATACGCAAGGAGAGAACCCTGTCGTTGTGCTTTTCATGAGAAATGAGTTACCACTCAAGTACAGAAGATGAAGGACGAGGTCACAGAAGGGCATATTGTGGAAGGAAAGCAACAATAAACATTGAATATTAGCATTTAGCTTCTTGAAGGAAACCCGGAGAATGGCTTGCAACTTTTCTGAAACATTCATTCCCATCTGATGGAGTGGTTGTTCTCTACACACGCATGAGGAGCCACAGAGAACCTGCTCAGCCACCTGCTTGACTGAATATTGGCTAATGTTCATTGAGGAAACGTTTCTCCCAACTGGGACTTCCAGCAACTCAGGCATCCTGAAATCTATCTCCTATGCCTCTATCCTGTGCATGGTGCTTGCTCTGCCTGCCATGATCTTCCCTCTTTGGCTGGAAAATTCTACTCATCCTTCAAGTACCAGTTCGAGTACCATCTCTTCTGTGAAAAAATGTACCCCACTCTGTGTTGCCAGTTATCATTTCTTCCTCTGTGTTGCCATGCACTTCATACTTAGCCTTTGTTAAAATATTTGTGATACTGGGGCTGAGCACAGTGGTTCATGCCTGTAACCCCAGCACTTTGAGAGGCTGAGGTGGGTGGACTACTTGAGGTCAGGTGTTTGAGACCAGCCTGGACAACACGGTGAAACCCTGTCTGTTAAAAATACAAAAATTAGCCAGGCATGGTGGTGTGCTCCTGTAATCCTAGCTACTCAGGAGGCTGAGGCACGAGAATCACTTGAACCCAGGAGACAGAGGTTGCACTGAGTTGTGGTCATGCCACTGCATTTCAGCCTGGGCAACAGAGCGAGACCCTACCCCTCCACCCCACCACCCCCCCCAAAAAATGTGTGATACTGAATTACAATTAATTGTTTATATTTCCACTTAAACTATGTTTTCAATGACAGGGGCTCTGTCGTATTCTTCTATATAACCCTCATCCCATCCATTCCAGCTTTGTACATTGGCCTTTATCCCTGGCATTAAGCAGAATCTCAGTAATTTCTTTAACTGCTTACTTGATGAACTATGCTGGGGAAGAGGAAGGAGAGAGCTAGGGACATGCCTCATGACATAAAAACTCTGGATAATCTTCCAAGTGCCTTGTAAAAAATCACAGGAAGGTTTTTCTTAAAATAAATCACTTTATATATTTTTTTAGGAAGAAACAAGCATAGGGCACAGGAGAAGCATCTGGGAGTGAGGATGGAAAAGGGGCCAAGAGCACCTTCACTTATCTCACTACTTTCCCTAGGACCTGACTTTGTTGGTGCCACTAAATTTCATCTCCATAAGGAGCCACTGCTAAAGAGTAGTAGCTTTTGTTTTCCAGTAGCCTTTACCAACAAAGATGACTACTAAAGCCCTGGGTTCCCTCCTTCCACTCCTAGTTTTAGTATTCATCCATTCAGTGCATATTTATTGAGCCTTTATGATAGCCCTGAGGCAACAGTTTAGTGGCAATTAGTCTGATTATTTGGAAAAATAAAAAGAAATTTATTAAGGCCTGCGACACATTTGGATTAACCTTTCAACCAGCTTTTCCAGGCATGCATTGTAATGGGGGCTGCTTGGTGTTTTAACCCCCCAAAATGGAGTCACCTTCATGCTTAACTGGAAGTCCTCTTGCCCTAATTTGTTGTATTGGTTCAAGCCTACAGTGACATCTTCTGGTAAATATTAAGAGTGCACCACAGTGCAAGTCTGCAGCTCTCCTTCCTAAACACTGTTCCTAGTCTTTCAGAGCAAATAGATCCCAACCACCAGGGTTAATGACACAATCAATGTTTCATAAGCACCACCCCTACCCCAACATGGATAGAGAGAAGGCAACACAGAGACAGACTTTCAGAGAGGGCCTCTCATGTTATGGGTGTGTGGATCCAGTATACATTCAACTTGAAGGTCACCTAGTGCCCTTAGGAAATACAGACAGCCCAAAGTAGGCAGCCTCTGTGTCTACACTGTAGGGATTATCACTGCAGCAGAGAAGTTAGAGGGGCACACACATACACACACTGCTGCCTTGTTGATAACAGCCACCTAGACTCAGATGACAATACCTGCAGAGTTTCAGTGAGTGTTAACAGCCCCCTTCTTCCAGGGCAAATAGCCTTGGAGACCTAGAATGCCTCCACTGAAAGCACTTGATGCTGCTTAGAAATATTCCACATGTAAAAAGAAAGAAAGATCTGCTGAAGGGTAGGTGTCCAGTGTCCAGGGGTCTCCTGAATTGCATGGTGTGTTGGAAGTAGGAAGGCAGGTAAAGGTAATACCTTGGAGGTTATGTCAGAAAAAGAATCCAGGATGCTCATTATATCCAAGGAAGAGCTTTTAGGGCAATATGAGAAACACGCTGGGGAATGTGGCTGGGGTGGGGGGCAAACAGAGACGTGGCCAGTTTTCCCTCAGTGGTCAGGTCAGGTCAAGACTTGTTTAGTCTCGGCACCTAATGTGTGCCTGGCACTGCGGCAGGCACTGGGGATACAGACAAGGATAAGACATGGAAACTCGGGGAAAGTGTTGCAATTGTGTGTGCTACGAATGCTTGGAGCAAGTAAAGGGTGTGATAAAAAAACACCTCACACTGATTTCTAACCTAGCCTAAAGATAAGACAAGGGTTTCTGCAGCTTTATTTTTAAAAACAAATAAGAATTAGATGAGGCAACTGGGCACGGTGGCTCACACCTGCAATTCCAGCACTTTGGGAGGCCAAGGCAGGCAGATCACTTGAACCCAGTAGTTCGAGACCAGCCTGAGAAACATGGTGAAACCCTGTCTCTGAAAAAAAAAATAGAAAAATTAGTGGGCGTAGTGGTGCACACCTGTAGTCTCAGCTACTTGGGAGGCTGAGGTGAGAGGCTCACTTGAGCCTAGGAGGTAGAAGCTGCAGTGCGCCATGATATCACCACTGCACTCCAGCCTGGGTGACAGAGTGAGACTCCATCTCAAAAAAAAAAAAAAAAATGAATCAAGGAGAGAGGAAAGGAGTATAAGACAAGACAAAAGGGTCAGCATGGGCAGAGGCACAGAGGCATAAATCAGCCTACTGTGCAAGAGAAATGTGCATCAAAAAACTTCCTGGGGAGTGAAGGAGTAGTGGCAGGAATTGAAGATGGAGAGGGAGCCCAGGACCTGGTTGTGAAAGGCCACAGATGCCATATTAAAGCATTCAAAGTTAATTCCATAGGAAACAGAGAGGTTTTGAAGGGCTTTAAGCAGGGGAATGACACGATGAGGTCTGTGTTTTAGAAAGGTCATTATGTATAGTGTGTGAAGATGAAATTAGTGAAGTTAGTTAAGAGGTTACTGCAGAAGACAAGGCAAAAGAGAAGGAGGAGCAGACTAGAGAAATATTTAGCAGGTGAAAGTGACAAAAGGGATTCAGGGGAGAAAGAGGAGGAGTTAAGGATGCCTCCTAAGGCTCTGGAAAGGGTCTGAGGTGCCTGAAGGACATCTGAGTAGAGTTGAATGAACAGATCTGGCACTCAGAGAGCAACCTGAACTGAAGATAAGATACGGAGTGGTCAGCACAAAGTGGTAGTTTCCAGACCATCATGGTCTATTTAGGGATCTTTTTAAAATTCCACTTGTGTGGCTTCAGATACTCGAAGACAGCATTTACCCCAAGGATTCTCTTCTTTACGCTGAAAATGGTTTTCAACTATTCTCTATATAGCTTAAAGGCCCCACTATTCTGTTGTCTGCCTGCAAATGCATTCCACTTTATTGGAACATGGCCCTCTAAGCATGATCTGACAAGCAACAAGAAGGGACAGTCTATCACTTCCCTCATTCTTGACACCATTTCTCTTAATGTGGTCTCAGATCACATGGACCATTTTGGCGGCCACACCACACCACTGATACACAGTAAGCTCAATTGTTTCATTCTTTCACATATATGCCACGCTGAAACTCAATCTATATTGTCAGGAACTGATGCAGTGTATTTGTGGCCCTGTTTAAT